AACTTTATTCACGTTTCAGGAAGTACAAATACTCCCAACTCAGGTGTGTGTGTGTGTGTGTGTGTGTGTGTGTGTGTTTGTGTCAAAATAAAAACAACTTTATTCACGTTTCAGGAAGTACAAATACTCCCAACTCAGGTGTGTGTATGTGTGAAAATGAAAAACAACTCTTATTCACATTTCAGGAAATATAAATACTCACACTAAGAAAATATCTCAGGATTTAGTTCTAAAGTAAGAAAATAAACTGGCTCATCAATGCAAAAGAGACAAAGAAAAACACCGAGTCTTTCCCCTCTTTGGGCATGAAAACTGACACTAATCAATAGGAGTAACAGTTGGAACAGTTTAAAGCAGTTTTCCACCAAAACAACAAATCTGGTATCTTGATCTAACATGGCAGAACAGATTTCATTAGAAAATAATGCAATATTACACTCTAAACAAAAATATAGTTCAACCTACCAGCCTTAACTTCCCTTCCTAGTTCGGGATCATTCACTAGGGACCCACCATATAATTCGTCCTGCATGTCTTTTTCTACAAGCACCTGACGATCATGAATAGATAGATTATGTTGAAACAAATCTTTCCGTTTGCTTTTAGATCTTTTACCTAGAAAACATGGAATACAGTATAATTACTTATGCATATATATATTTAAGATATGGTAAAAAATTTTTTTAAATACTTTCATCAATATAAATTGACAAAACTTCATTTTTATGCTAAGTAATGGATTTAACTGCATTTCAAAAAATACAAACTTATGTTAAGTATATGATCAAGTACATAAAAAGAAAAACTACAGTGTTACTCGAAAAAGAAGAGGAATGAGAAATGATGCATTTTTCCCTTACCTTTCATTGAAGTAACTATTAAGTTAATCTATTTTGATAAGTGTATAATCATTTTTACTTTATTTCTGTGTTGATGTATAATCAAACTTTCCTGTATAAACAAAGATTAATAAACAACTCTTCTTAAAAACCTAGCCCTGTCACTTCATGTAATGTAAATATAGATGTACAGCAGGCATTAGAATACCAAGCTTCTAACATAAGTTACAAGTTTACAATAAATAAGAATACCTTTCTGAGTGTTAAACTGATTGAAAATAGTGTCTTCTTGAAATCCCGGAAGAACTCCTGCTACCTCGTAGGTTCCTGCAAATACTCAGTGTCAATATTGAAATAAAACAGATAGTAACTACATTAATTAATATAAAGGACATTTGAATAACTTTGTTTGTCTTATTCAAAGTCACTGGGGTAAAATGTGCCAAAACAGATATATTCAAAATACACAGTTTTACAATATTATTAAAAATATAAAATGTGTTAATTAGTTACACTTACATTTAGAAGTTACATAATTTTCTGAGGATTATTAGATTCTACTCGCATGGTCTGGAGATGTCAAAGTTTGCTTAACATTACATGCAATATAATACACTAACACAGAACAAACTGGATATTGCAGCAAAACTATCTTGATATATATATATATATATATTAGCATTTTTACATACATTTCTGATTCAAAATGGATATGAATTTTGATTCTAAAAATATTCGACCACATCAGTTTGAACCAATCAGAGGATCAGGAGTGAACAATGAGGAATGTACTCGTATATTATACCTGATAATTAAAAAGGACCATCTAAGTTACATTGGAATTTTTCAAGTGCAGAAAGGTTGTAAACACATACAAGTCTTAAGATACCTAATAAACATTTATAAATATCTAAAAACTATTTACCAATTCATCATAAAATGACATATAAAAACCTGTCAAATTTCTTACTTCAGAACAACTGTTTTTTGATAAGTCCTCCTAGGACACAGTGATTTCTTTAATTTTTCATTTTACACTATTTGGACCCCAGGGGATATTACTGATAGAGCATCTGATTTTACTTTAATTCTAGCACCATTATATCCCATTTCTGCCATTTATACGAGATCATAAACAAAGCATGTTCTCAAAATGTGCAAAGCAGAGTCATCTATGTGTTTTTAAACTCAAGAACAAAATGTCTGCTCTTTTCATGTTTTGAATCCATGCTTTTCTCCTTGTCCGGCTCTTTGAAAAAAAAAAAACATAAAAACTTCAACCTTATGATCTGCCAGTTCTATTACAACAGTGCATTATCATCATTATACAAAGAGACAATTTCGATCGGGAAAATATATCAGCCAACACACTGAAAATATAAATAATCATACCATGCATTGAACTGGTAATACTGCCTTGTAGCATCTAATGTCATGGATTCCGAGCTTTGTAAACACAACTATTTTCACATTTAGGCTTGTGTAAAAAGAGTACAGTTTAGTGGTAAAAAAATTCTGCATATTAAATTAATTACGTATTTGTTTCAATGACGCATTAACTACAATAAACATCAATACTAAGTGCTAGATATAATTTAATAAAAGTGAGAGAAGTTAAGATGTACAACTGTTATGTTATATTTTATAGTATATTTTTTTTGTATTATATGGTCTATCTTACAATGCATTCAAATACAAGAATAATACATAAAACCTCTTGCAGCAACCTTCAAACCAATTAAGCATTTTTTTTTCCTATGAACATGTTTTCTAATTTAAAAAAAATGTAAACAGCCACCAGAATTTGAACTTCACACATATAATCACAATTTATATGTACAACTAAGTTTAAAAAGTCATCCATCATGACAACAAACTTAATATATTGATGTCTTTTAAGTGTAACAGCAAACATGCATACCTTTTGATGTACGTCTGTAATCAACACGTTCGTTTCTCCAAAATGCCACTGGCTTCACAATTGTGCGTTTCGAACCACGTTTTACGATTTTTGGACAACCTTCTGGGTTTTTCTCAGCTCCAATAGGCTCTGGTCTTTTTGAAGACAAGTCTGAAGAAAAATATAAATTTGATTAGTATATTAACTTATCTTAGTCTCAATTTAATTAACACTGACTACAAGAAACTCCTTTCAATGTGACTATACAGGATTAGAAAGGTATGAATTATACAGGTTACCATTTCTTTTAACTCCCCTGAAAGCAGTCAAGTGACAAAACAGGATTATAAATGTATGAATTAAACACGGGTTACCAATTCTTTTAACTCTCCTGAAAGCAATCAAGTGACTATACAGGATTATAAATGTATGAATTAACATGGGTTACCAATCCCCCCCCCCCAAAGCAGTCAAGTGACTATACAGGATTACAAAGGTATAAATTAACATTGGTTACCAATTCTCCCGCCCCCCCCCCTTTCTGAAAGCAGTCAAGTAACTATACAGGATTACAAAGGTATGAATTAACATGGGTTACCTATTCCCCCCCTCTGAAAGCAGTCAAGTAACTATACAGGATTAGAAAGGTGAGAATTAACATGACTCAATAGTTCTCTTAACTCTCTGACAAAAACAAGGTGACTATCTAGAATAACAAAGATATTAGTTAATGTATATTAACAATTCTCTTAACCCTCCAACAACAATGAACTATCAATAATTATAAAGATATGGGTTAACACCAAATCAACAATCCTCTTAACACCCTAACAACAGAGTTAGTAATTCTCCTAAGTCAACAATTCTTTCATTGACAACAGTCATTAAAACAACCACACAGGACTACAAAGATAAAGATTAACAAACAAAGCAGCAATTCCCTTAACCCCAAGCATCAATTAACTGACATTTAACAAACAAAGCAGCAATTCCCTTAACCCCAAACATCAATTAAGTGACATGTGGAGTCTTCTGGGGGAAGGGGATAATATTGTTATAAATAAAATAAAAACAACATGCATATTTGTGAGCAAGTGTCACCTCACTAATATAAAAATGTTTTCATTTGACACTTTTTTTTTCCACAGATTGACCAATTTATTATCTACAAAGGACAGAAATAACTCATACAATTTCATGGGTCTTTTTTTACTAATATATTTCATCAGAACCAAAATTAAGAATTACCTAGTGTCCACTATCCACTGTAAGAGGATATTAAACAATAGGTTGTTAAGTAAAATACTATACACCAGACCTCAACAAATATTTTCACATCAAGGAGCCAGCCCAAAAACTCAGGAGCCAGATGTACCTAACCTAACTTCACTACTATTTATACCTGGAAATGGGAGCTTGTATATTTATTTACTTTCACAGCAAGGTGTGCATGCTAACAATCACATGATATCAACAACCACTTAATAGTATTGCCTGAACTAACTGCCACTGGTCCCTTCTGAGTCTAAACACGTGTATTGATTGGTTGAATTGAGAGAAAGAAGAAAAATAAAATGGCACAAAATTAGTAATGTGTTCTTGCGACAAATTTGTGTTTACATTCAGAGATTCGTATGTATAGCGGGCCTCACAAATTTGTGTTTACATTCAGAGATTCATGTGTATAGCGGGCCTTGACAAATTTGTGTTTAAGTTCAGAGATTCATATTATATAGCAGGCCTCGACAAATTTGTGTTTACATTCACAGATTCATGTGTATAGTGGGCCTCGACAAATTCCAGTCACCATAGCAACTAAAAATTTCATCATAACCCATAGTATTTTCTCCCATTTTATTCATGTGTAGGGATGTGCTAAATAGAACTCAAATCTAGAACAGTTTGGACTCTTGGAAGTCTAGAACTATTTTTACATTTTTTGAGTCCTAAATCAAACATTTTTTTTTTTTCAGGAATGAAGAGCTGCTGTTGCACCGGCCCTCGACAAATTTGTGTTTACATTCAGATACTCCTGTGTATAGCGGATTTATGTTTACATTCAGATTCATGTGTATAGTGGGCCTTGACAAATTTGTGTTTACATTCAGAGATTCTGTGTATATGAACATGAATAGTCTCCATAAGTAGTGATACTTTCTCAATAAAAAAAGATACGATAAATCCATTAGCAACAATGTACTCATATTTGCACAAAGTTGAATTACAACTTTTTCACTTATATCCATCTTTTCTGTAGTTTTATTAAGTTATTACAACATCTGCTTAAGTTTGAAGTAATCTACAATTAATATCACTTGTAGCAATCTTCTATCACTATTCTGAAAGCACCAGACTATAAAATATATTTTTTTTTAAGTTGCCCAAGTATCCAACACTTTTAATCTAAAATAATATACTATTATCATCAATATTCTGAAAGTAACAGAATATAAAACAGATTAATGACTTCAAGTTGCCACACTATCTAACTGTTTGAGTTAGAAGTAACCTATTATTATGATAATATTCTAAGAGTAACAGATAATAAGAAAATATCAGTGACTAATCTGTAAGTTGCCCCTCTATTTAATCATTTAATCTATCAGTAATCTACTACTGTCATCAGTATTCTGAAAGTAACAGACTGTACAGAAAAAAGTATCTAAAATTCAGTTATTTGGTAGCATCCACTCACCTTCACTTTCCATCTGTTTTTCACCAGAACTAGTTTGATTAAACTGCTTTTTCTTGCCTTTTGTCTTTGGTAGGTCTGAACGTTTTATTTCACGATGATTCACATCTTCATTTTCAGAAAAACTTGGAGTTTTACAAAATTTTTTAAAATGACCTTGTACTTTTGATCCATCTTTAGAGTGGGTCAATTTTTCATCCTCATTTGACACGGGTGAACCACACTCATCAGAATGGGTAGAATCAAGTTTTCTTTCATTCACTTTTAGGTCTGATGTCCTAATATTCATTCCATTTTTTTTTGCTTCACTACTCAAAGACTTTTTCAATTTCTTACACGTATCTGTCAAAACTTCCAGCTTTTTGTTAACTTCTTTATTATATGTTCTCATCTTAAGAGTTTCATTAACCATTGGCTTATTATTAATATCCTCTGAGCCCTCCAAATACTGGTCATCAACAGCTTTCTCAGTTCTTGAATTTCTTATTTCCATCTGAGTAACTTCTTCTGGCATTACAGTTACAGTATTCTTCTTTGCTAAATTAATGGGCTCTTTCAAAGATATTCCCGATGCTTTTTTTCTTCCCCTTGTATTTTTTCGTCTTCCTTTCTCAGACTTGTTTTTAATTTTACCACACTGCATATTTTTTTCTGTATTTTCTTGACTTTGGTTTACTTCCAAAATTTGTTTAGCCACATCTATTTCATTTCTGTCAGGTTGTTTCAGACTAAAGCTATTCTTATTAAGCAGAAGAGAACTTCTTAAAGAAACAGCTCTTACTTCATGACCAAGATTTTCAATTTCACTCGCACCATTTTCATCAATCAACTCATCTACCCCAGTATCACTAAATCTTACCCGTTTTGTGATTATTTCATTTGGCACATCCAGACTGGAAGGGGGCTTGAAATTAGTCCCTGGTGTGTTGTTTTTGTTCAAAGTAAATGGTGAAGATGTGTGTGAGATTATTTCATTTGGCACATCCAGACTGGATAGAGACTTGAGATTAGTCCCCAATTTATTGTTTTTCTCCAAAGTTAATGGTGAAGATGTGTGTGGATTTTGCTTCTTCAAACTTTTAGGATCAAGTACTAACCTAAATTCGGTCTCGGCTTCAGAGTCACTATCTGAACTAATATGCATATATGTGATAGGTTTTTGTCTTCTTGAAGTATTTGGTATCATTTCTTGAACATTGTTCTTAACTTGATTTTTTGGATCTGTTTTTGACAAGAAGTTTTTTTCTGTCCGTGGAGATGATGATAGAAGAGAATTCAGCATGACATTATGTAATGTAGAGTTAAAAGGCTTTTCTGAAACATATTCTTCATTTCTTGGTTGCAGCTTTTCTGTAGAGTTCTTCCCCAACTTGTTTATGCTTTGCTTGTTTTTAGACCTATAAGTTCAAAAATTACATTTAAATGAAACAACTATTAGAAACATTTCCAAATAATCACAACATGTTTAATCACTTATTTAACTATTTATTAGTCTTTCCTGATGGAAAATTAGTTTTATTTTATTTACATACTACAGTTTAGCACTGGCTTTCCTCCTTCCCACTGCAGAGTCCATTTACAGCATGTTTGTCAGTGTGCAGTCTATGTAGCATTGCACTGTCTCTAATTCCAAACCACCAACTAGAGGGAGACAATGGCTAGCAAAAGCCACCTTGCCCTTATATCTTATTGTTATTAAGCAGTAAACATCATTTTTTTATTTTTTACTACAATTATATTTATATTTAACACTTAGTACACAATGATCACTTTAATATTACTTCTATTATCATATTATGCTTATGGAGTTTGGTACCAATCTTTGCACAGGCTCTCCTCTCTCCAATAATTCTCCTTATGGTTTTTCTAGTTACAATACCAGTTCAATTAACCTAACAATAATTGTAATTTGTAGTAGAAAATTTTCAATCAATTAGAAGGGCTTACTTACAAATGTTCATTTAATATTTTGTAACCAATTCTTATGTCTTATGTTTCTTCTTACATTGAAAAGTTTGTCTTTTAAAGCATTTAAATGTTTAATTAATAAAATATATTTTACATACAGAGTGCATAAAACCTGTGAATGAAAAGAAGTATGGTATATTTCTTAAAAACAGAAAGTGGTCATAAATGACCAATGCTGCTAACAATACTGTCTTTAAGATGTCTTAATTTATTCACAGTTGCTGCATGTAAATTTAGAGAATGAATCTAAAAGTATTAGCCACAGACTCAAGTATTTTATAGTACTGGAACACAGAGAAACTACTTTCCCAGGAGAATGAAAAGCACTGGAGTACTTACAGAAGTATTATCTATAAAGATATTTTAATAAGCACTAAGCAATTATGTAAAAAAAAGTTAATCTAATCATTGGAACATTTATCAATAAAAACCTTTAAAAGAAAAGATGATAAGGTTACCTTGTTTAAGAATCTTAGAAGTTATAATTTAAAGAATTTAAAAGAAAATATTTCACAAATGCTTCATTTATTAATTACCATGGTTTCACCAGTAAAGGAATTGTCATCAAGGTTGTTAATAAATGAAGTACTTGTGAAACATATAATTGTCTTTGTTTTGTTTTCCCTCAATTCTTTAATTATGGAGTTTCACCAAGTAACCACAATTTCAAGTATTAAGTTCTAATTTACCAAGTTGAAATATAATACAGGCAATAAAAAAAATTTAAGAGCACTTCCAGGCTGTGATGTGAAACCCACAACAAAGATATGATTAATTAATTTGTTTTTAAAAATCAAACAAACTGATTTGATTCAGGTGCTCCAGATCAAAACTGTACTATGAAAGTTTTTTTTTATGGTTAGGGATAAATCTTTGTAAGATTGGCAGCTTTATTTTATATAAAATATTGCTTCTCATATTCATTTTTAAATAGGTGCCACATTACATATTGCACAAACAAAC